TGCTTTCCAACAAAGCTGTTGCTGTGGTATGCCTGGTGTTGAAATCAAACAAATATCTAGTGAAGAAGCCAGCGAGTATTGGAAATCTATTGATGACTTGTCTTTTGTATTTCTCCAGCCACTTTTAAACGTCGAAAGCAAGTAAATGAAATATAATCAATTGAAAACGCTAGCGATATTAACGGAGTTTGATTCCTACTGACTTGCATTTTGCTTTAGCCTTTTAACTACAGTCCTCCTCTTGTCCCTACACTTAGAATTAATTTTTGTACGAACATTGTCCCACTGTCCTGCAAACGAAGGCGAGTCAAACTTTTGGCGAAGCTTCGAACACAGGAAGCTCAGTTTATGTTCGTCGAGTTTGGCATAACCAAACGTGCCACCCGTGTTTCCATTGGCCAATTCATTTTCCGTAAATAGAACATCGACGCATGCCAATGCAGTGGTCGACATCTCCTTTCCAATGAGTAGGATTGCTTCTACTCGGCGACGCTGCTCATCTGTGGGGCCCTGCAGTGGAGTGTTAATTTGTTTGTTCTGCTGGATGGCTGCCAGTGGTGGTCGTGAAGAATAAGTTACCTGTGAACTGTTTGCGACCAGGGTCTGATGTGTCTGAGGATTGGGTCTTTCGACGAATGAATGATGCTGGAGGCCTGGAAGAGGAGACTCGGCGGCGGTGACGCTGCAATTCTCAGAGCTGTCTGGGCAGAACTCGGCTATGTCACTCAATGTGTCGTCTGACAGCAGCTCAGCTAATAATGGGCGGTCTATTGTTCTGGGCTCCGGTTGTTTGTAAGACTTCAGCGCAGTCAACTCGGCAACGATCTGCGTGAGGTTCTTCACTTGCTTCTTCAGATCTGCCATGACATCCACGAAGTCCGTCTGAACTGCAACATCTGATGTTTGTCTCAGACGCGGAGTAGCGGCTTCGGTCCTGACACACTGGATGCTAGCATCTCTTTTAATAATTTTCGGTGTTCGTTGCTGTTTGAGATGGGCTTGCTTTGCCTCTTGTTCTGCTATCAACTTTTGTAGCATTTGAACCTGTGGCGTAATAAACAATTTCAATTTTAATTCATTTTCACGGCCCATTTTTAAACGAGATCTCTATAGAGGTAGCGCACGCACTATTTACTTCGATCACAATACTTCAACTCTAATTGCTTGGTGACTTTTCTATTTTTCATACACGCATCTCTAGAATTGATGTAGCCTTTTTACATTTTTGCTTTATCGTAAGAATGGTGCGATTTTTTCGGAAATGGAAATGGCAATAACAAAGTCAAGGTAATTAGGCTGCCTTAAGAAGGAATCCATCACAAGTTCGAGTAACAAGTGGACAAAAACTTTGTACCGAGGTTATTTAAGTTGTATTGCAAACTTCTGTACAACTGTTTAAAATATATTTTCAAAAGAAATCATCTCTAACAACACCAAAACTGGTGAAATAAAACTGATAATGAAATTTACATGTGATCGCACAATTTCTCTGAACTTATTTTTTCGAGTTTCCATGGGAAATTGTTTTTTGATGCAAAAAGGACAGTGATATACTTAAAGTTATTCTGGTACAAGGTTTTTGTTCATTAAAAACTGAAATTGCTCGGTTTCTTTTCGGATTACGTCTTAATCTTTGGCACACAATGTCGTTCGTTCCACTACCATACTTCAGTTCTTACAAGGGGTGGCAAATGATATTAAATGCGAGACTTTGAGAGAGAAGGCAAAGCAAGCGTTTTTCTGTACGAGCCCGAGATATTTGTGACTTTTTAAAGAATAACAAGACGTATTTTGCTGCCAAAAAACGAGACTGCAAGATCATTAAATTCGACGAATATTTAGCGAGAACCAGAGTTTTTGAAGGACCATTTACCACCTCTCTTACTGTACCCACCCGACTCTACTTACATTAAATCAAAACAAAGATTAGAGCAAGTACGTTTAAATAAACATATCCGTAGCTGCATTGTTCACATTATGCGTCTGCTTCAACCACGCTTTTTGACTTGTTTGTAATTCTGCTTGATTTAGTAATCTAATTTATCAAGCCCACTTAAATTTTACTTACTCTCTTACTTTCTGTCGAAATGTTTGTTTTGAAAGTCCAGCTTACTCACAATAAACATGTTTTGATCATGTTTCCTACACTGAGGTATAAGTGGATGTGAATACTATTTGCAGTAAAATGTGCTTCATTCGCCATTACACTAAACTTCTTTTAGCCCATCGTGAATGTAACGAACAGGAAAGACCATCAAATTTTTCGCATGTGTTTTTTAAACTTCCGAATACATTCTAAATTAGAGAAGTATTGTGTCAGAATTGTTTCTTTCCCTTTTTACAAGCGATTTAAGCGTTTATCATGGAGGCTAACTTAAACACTATTATCTTCAGCTAAAACGGTGTTAATTTGTTCATAACTGACGTAATTGACAGGAAGCGAAATATTGACAGTCTAAGCACATTATCCTTGTATTATTAGAAAGCTAACTCACCTCATCTTGGTTATCAGTTGTTGTTCATGCCCTTTTTGCAGTCGGGCCTGTATTTCGCGGTTGCTGCCTCTTGTCCATTATGGCATCTTCCTCAGCAAAAAGGTGCACATTTACTGGATCTTCAACGAAAGATCTTTCCTCCTGGTTTAGCTGATTCTCGTTATCTGCAAAGAAAACACACAAAGTAACCCATGTTATAGAGAGAAGACGATAACTCAACTAAACTTTAAAACAAGCAAACATCAGACAAAAGGTAACTTACCATGTGATGCAATCACCATCGCATCCAGGAGTTTACCATTAGTTCTGAGTGTCACTTTAGCACCGCTTTCAGGCCCGGNTTAAAACAAGCAAACATCAGACAAAAGGTAACTTACCATGTGATGCAATCACCATCGCATCCAGGAGTTTGCCATTAGTTCTGAGTGTCACTTTAGCACCGCTTTCAGGCACGGCGTCGGAAAACGCGTCTCCACTTTCTTTCTTCCTAATCTTTTTGGTCTCGACAATACATGTTGTTTTGTCAATACTAAAATATACCAGGCACAATTTGGGAACTTTTGTGAGATTATGATAGCCCATGTTGAAACACTTCTGAATAGTTCGGCCGATAGTACACTAAAAGATACACAAACAAGTGTGCTTCTGAGTTTTTTATACGCAGTATTAAGCTCACTATTGAACAATTGCAGACCAATGAAAAGGTGATTGAAATCGTAATTTGTATAGACATCGTTAAATGAAATTATTGATTTATACCGGATCCGTTTTGACGTGCGTTCTGGACAATAGGTGAGAAAAAGGGGTGGTAAGTTTGCCGATCATAACAATAGTTCTAATTGAGGGAACGACTCTATTTTAAACAAACTATTCATGTTTACGACTCGTTTTTTCATTTGCGCTCAATTAGTGAAGCGATATTGATAAGCTTTTCCTTTGTATAGCTTTATCATAAATCAAATACAGTTTATTTTTTGTTCGGTTTTAAAAGAAAAGTTTTTCACTTTTTCCTCCCCTGCTTTTGACCTATTGCAGTGTTCCTCCATTGGAAAATTCAATTTTCTATCAGCTTTGAAAAATTTGAGATGAAAAAAGCCATTGCAATTATAGTTTAGTAAAGCGATATGATAAACATTGAATTTATCCGTTTGAACAACCACAGTTATCTGCTGAAAAAATGGAGCTGTTCAAACAGCTTATGTTTTCCGTTCGAAAAAAACCCATTTTTTCTTTCACTTTTGGCACACAAAACTCGATGAAAAAGTCGCAAAAACAAAACATTTTACTAATTTGACAATTTGTGACCAAATACGTACATCAATTAGCAGTCTCGGACTCTGGGACATGCATTGTGCAATCTGTGCATCGTTTTTATCGTGCCATAAACATAACAATGTTGGCTAAACCAATGTCAAATTCAGAACCAACACAACCAACTGATGTAAAACGAACCATATAAAATATATAAAACAACATTTCGCTCAGAAACTTTTAATGACATGTTACACGAAGCTATAGATATGTTATTTTTATAACTGTATTGAAGTCGGACTTATCAAACCTTTCATTTTTACGACTCATTTTTTCGCTTGCGCTCAATTAGCAGAGCAATATTATTTTAAACTTTTCCTTTGTATACCTTTGTGATGCATTGTCATAAATAAAATACAGTTTGTTTTTTGTTCGGTTTTAAAAGAGAAGTTTTTTGCCTTTTCCTCCCCTGATTTTGATCTATTGCAGTGTTCCTCTATTGGAAAACTTGATTCTCTATCAGCTTTAAAAAATTTGAGATTAAAAATGCCATCGCCATTATAGTTTAGTAAAGCAGCGTGATAAACATCGAATTCATATGTTCGAACAACCACAGTTAGGATATTTGCTGAAACAAAATTGAGCTGTTCAAACGGCTGATGTTTTCCGTTCGAAAAAGTTTTGGCACACAAAAATAGCAAAAGCAAAACATTTTCATTGCCAGTTTTTCAATTTGTAACCGAATACGCACATCAATTAGCAGTCTGGGACTCCAGGACATGCATTGTGCAATCTGTGCATCATTTTTATCGTGCTGTAAACGTAACAATGTTGGCTAAACCAATGTCAAATTCAGAATCAACACAACCAACTGATGTAAAACGAACCATATAAAATACATAAAACAACATTTCGCTCAGAAACTTTTAATGATATATTAAACAAAGCTATAGATACATTTTATAACTGAATTGAAGTCAGGCTTATCAAACAAAGTTCCTAGTTTACAGTGGGACTAGAGGGGCCAAAAAATCCTCTGTTCCATCCCAGCAAAATTCTCGTATTTCTTTGTACAAATATTCAGCCCATTCTCGGCTAATTCTGCCAGGAGGAATCGTTGGCGGTAGCTCTCCAGTGTCAGGAACTCTTCCATTGCGCAGCAGGTTGACTGCCTTCTCTTCAGAGTACCAGTACTCTTTACAATATACAGTACCCGGGTAATCTTCATGAAAACGGAAACGATAGTACGATTTA